CTTAAAGGGGAGTCACATGTTCATTCTCAACATCTTTCTTTTTTCCCTCAACCATGGCCATCAACGCCAAGTTGTTATCTTCTTCGTCAGATGAATCATCCATCCAATGGTCCTTCTTGGCCATCAAAGCACTTTTACTTTCGTACTACTAAATGGCTAGCATCTGCTTCTTTTTGTTAGGTTGCACCTTTTTCTTATAGTACTCAACATCCTTTCTTCTCTTTGGAAACCTGCAGGCCTTTATGAGATGCCCGACTTCCCACAACTGAATCACTTAGGAGCATCCTCAGCATCCAGAGTATCAGATATATCAAATGGTCTTTCTTTCCGTTTGGTGCCGGTAGAGGACTTGTGAAGTCTGTTAGGAGAGGAATTCTTCTTCTTGTAGATCTGGTTGTTAAACCTATAAGCCATGAGTGACAACTGCTTTTTGAAGTCCAAAAGTTCATCATCAGAATCATAATAAAAATCTACTTCACTTTCTTCAGTCTCAAGAACGACAACCTTCATCTTCTCTTTCTGGGTCTTCGAAGCTGATTTGGAGGGTCTCTCAAGCATGAGAGCTAAGGTGTCGGCCAGCTTGTTCACCGCTGCTTTACCTTTCTCATCAACAACACTCACAAAGTCAGAAAAATCATTAGCATATTGGTCAAGAGAGTTGTAGATTGCATGAACATCCATCTCCTCCAAATTCTTAGTGTGTCTGGTGTGAGAACACATCTTCCTCCACCCAGGGGCAAAAGATGACAAGAATCTCACATTCAACTCCATGTTAGATTTATGAACGTTGATCTTCCCCATCTCATCGATCAATCTCAGAAAGCGTATATAAGTATCCTCCAACGATTCTCCCAGTTTAGCTTCGAATGAGTCATAAGCAGTGAATGTGTTTGCCTTCTTAGCCTTCACACCAGTTTTGGTTCCTTGCATGAATTTGAAAATCTTATCCCACATATCCTTTGCAGTTGACATGATGCCTATCTTCATTAGATATCATTCGGGATAGCCTGCAACAGATAAGTCTTAGCAAGAAGGTCAACACGGATTCTGATACGATCTTGTCCATCATATTCTTCTTTTGTCTTCAGTCTATGTGTGTCACCAACTGGGGGGGTGTTCTCGAGATTTCCTTCAATAGCTATCCAAAGTTGTGCTAGACCGTCATTGATCGAGTCCAACAAGCAAGAGGTGTGGTCTTTTCTTTCAAGAAAGCCTAAGAATCTGTTTTTCTGCACCATATACACCCCTTCAGAAAATGGGTGGTCTGGTGTCATTTCCGATTGATAGAGCGTCCATGTTGTTGTTGATCGAGCTGAGCAGCTGATTGACTAACGGAGCTATTTTTGCAAAGTACAGGTTTGCACACAAAGCAAAGCTTCACGCACGGGGGTAGGGGAGAGCAAACCCGACCTTACCCGATTGACTCGATCGGATATATCCGTTTTTTTGTTGGGGTCGGAAAACCCGACCCGAAATACCCAAACCCGATCCGATTCTTGCAACCCGAGACTTAAGCGGGTAGCGGGTAGGGTTACCAATTATGCTACCCGACCCGCCCGAAAAACCGAACTAGTGTAGTATATATACTACTTTGAATTATTATGCATTTTCAAATATATCTCGATTATTGTATGCCAATTACCATATTATGCATTTTCAAATATTCGAATTACCGTATTTGTACAACTATAACTTTGAATGTTGCATTGATATGACTTTGAATGATATTTTGACCAATTATCATTTTATTTATCACAATATCAAATATGTCAATCACTGTATATTATTATTTTACATGTTCAAATATGTCGATTACCGTATTTATACAACTATTACTTTAAATGTTATACTAGTATAACTTTAAATGATATTTTTACCAATTACCATTTTATTTATCACAATTTCAACAATAATAAATTAAAATCCGAATGGACCCGAAAACCGTATCAACCCGACCGCAACCCGAATTTCTTCAACCCGAAAAACCCAATAAATTTTTTGATAGGGTAGGGTTTGAAACTATCAATCCGATACCCGAACGGGTTTACCATTTTTGAACCCGACCCGCCCAAACCCGACCCGTGCTCTGCCCTACACGGGGATGTATTCGCAAAGGGGTTCGCGCACAGACGAGTTTCGCGCACGGGCACGTTTCGCGCACAGCTTTTTCGCGCACGGACAGGTTTCATGCATAGCTTATTTCACGCACATCCTGGTTTTCGCACAAGTTGCTTCGCGCACAGCGTGATGCGTTAAACTAAAACTTTGCGCCTGGAAGCCTGAAACCTGTACGCTCTTAAACCTCTGCGGACGATGTAGAAAATTATGTCCAACTAATGGTATTCCATCATCCATCACTATTAATGGCTTTTTAACCTGCAAAAATAAAAAACAGAAACAACACCAAGATCGCGCACGAAGCAGAGAAGTTCGTGCACGGAAGAAATGTTCAACATCATTCTGTCGATCAGCTTCGGCTCTGATACCAGATGCTAGGTCCCTGTTTTCTACTAAGGAATCTACAAAATGGAGCTCTCAAATGAGTAGAAGAATGATTTTCATTGAAGGAGAAAGTTTACAATGATGAAGAACATTAGCGTGGAACCTTCTCTATTATCTCACTCTCATAAATGTTATGCGCAGGGGAATATAAGTGAGGCGTTGGAAAGCTGCCTCATCCATTCCCTTAAAGACATATTTATAGCCTAGGAAATGGGTAGGTCATTATAATGATTGGACCCTTATTTAATGTGGCCCTTTTGTGCTATTCTATTCTAGATTAAATACAACAAAGAGTAGTATTCCTGTCCAGCTTGACTGGACGGGAGGGTGGTCCGGCCACCTCAATATGAGGTGGTTTCCGGTGGTAGTTTTTGCAGATTTTTTTCGTATGTTTCTCATCAAGTCTAGTTCATCCATACCAAATTTGAGAAACAAATTCAATTGGGAAGGTCGTCAAATGATTTTTGAAAGATAACTGCACCGGAATATACATATAAAACACAGTTATCTTCAATAATCATTTGACGGCCTTCCCTTTTTACGTTTTTTGATCAAATTTGGTATGGATGAACTGGATTTGATGAGGAGCATACACAAAAAAATTCAGCAAAAAATACTACTGGGAACCACCTCAAATTGAGGTGGCCGGACCACCCTCCTGTCCGACCAGGCCGCACAGGAATATTTGTGATACAACAAAATACATTTAATGATAAAACATTGATCACATAAAAAAAATCTCTAACATAAGATTTACATTTGTCGCATGCACATGTCGTCTTCTCAAGGCCGCACATGGGAAAGTATTAAATTATACTTGTCAAGACCCTTTTTTGTCATGTCCAATTATATGTTGATTATCGAAAATTCAGAGCAAACACGAATTGACGATTTTAATAAATAATGAGAATGAGAAATCATTAAACATTACTGTGGATTTTTATTTAAACAGACTTTCAAAAACCTCTAACTCTCTAACAAGTAAGTTTAATACAACATATATTTTACATGTTACCACCAATTTAACTAGAAAGTAGCAAATTCTTATTTAACTAATATTTGTTACTTTTAATATTTGAATTAGGAAAAATTGATTGTAATAATCTCAACTATTGGCGGTCCGCTTATAATAATCCCAACTTTAGTGACATTCCGCCAATAATGGTTCACGACCAGATATGACCTGCTATAACAAGTGAATTTTAAATGGAAATAAAGCGTAAAAATTAAAAGTTGAATTATTTATAGGGATTACTTGTTATATCTCTTCTCATCCACTTTAGAAACTATATGAATTTATTTATAGCCGGTTATGACGGACCATTATTGGCGGAAGGTCACTAAAATTGGGATTATTCTGAGATAATCGATAGTTGAGATTATTATAAGCGGACCGCCAATAGTTGTGATTATTACCATCAATTTTTCCTTTGAATTATTACCCTAAAAGGGACTAAATTCTTTCTAAATCTCCTAAATAGGACTAAACATATATTTTTTCCCTAAATGGGACTGGATTACCCATTTACCCCTGTTTTTTCTCCTTCCCCCTTTTATAACCATTCTTTTTCTCCCTTGGGCCTTCTCCCTCTTGCGCATCTTCTCCACTGCGCACACTCCTTCTTCTCCCTTCCTTTTCACCGCTTCTTCTCCCTTCCCCTTCGCCGCTGACCCGCCACTGACGTGAAGTCCTCCGCCACTGCGCACACTCCTTCTTCTCCCTTCCCTTCGCTGCTGACCAAAGCTTTGAGTCTTCGTCGCTGCCCATAGCCATCACCGCCGCCGTCGCCGTCGGAGATCTTCTCTTCTTCGAAGGTAGGTTCTCTCCTTCCTCCCCTCTTCTCTAGTTCTCTCCCTCTTCTATTTCGTTGTAGATGTTTGATTTCTTCTTTGATTGGTAAAAAATACCAAGTTCAACACTGAAAATGCCATTAAAATGGCATTCTTATTTTACAAAAATTTTGTATTTTCCTTTGAAAATGCCATTAAAATGGCATTCCTGATTCATTTTGGCATTTTGATAAAAATGTTGACATTCATGTCGGGAAAGGCCAGATCTGAAACGATAAAGACCAGATTTGCAGTGGGAGATTCCAGATTAGCTGCGACGGTGGCCGGATCTACATCGACGACAGTCAGATCTACAACACGGTGGCCGTTTTAGAGGTGACAGAGACGTCCGACAACAGGCGGCGACCGGCGACAGGCGGTGGTTCGGCGTTGTGGTCGGTGGCAGTAGGATTTCCAAGCTTCAGGGGTGTTTTTGTCCAATTACAAATAATAACTCCTATTTTGGGAATTTTTAAATTTTAGTCCTATTTTGGCAATTAAAGATGTATTTACTCCCATTTAGGTAATTACCTCTTAATATTTATATTATTGATTAAAGGTTTATGACACTCACACATATTGTACTCACTTTTTCTAAATTAATGTTTAATTCCAAAATTAGTTTAACCATGAAAATTAATAAGTAGCAAATGCTAATAACTGGTGTCAATAAATTCTACTCCCTCCACCCCCTAACTTTGTTCCTTTTTATCTTTTTCGTTCGTCCCATTAAGTTTGTCTCATACCATATTTGATAATATTTGTGTGATTATCGTTCATCCCATTAAGTTTGTCTCATACCATATTTGATAATATTTGTGTGATTATCGTTCATCCTTACTTTATTCATACTTCATCAATTCAATATAAACCACATCATTTCACTTTTTCTTAAAAGTCTTGTCTCATCTCTTTGTACCAAAATGAGCAACCTTTATCGGCCCAGGATCCCTTGAAATTGCATATACCCCAATACCCCATCACCTTAGGCTTTAGCTTTGTATATAAAGCAGTGTTTTCACGTGAATCGAGTCATTGAGAGTCAAAAAGAGTTCTGTCCTGCAAGAGAAAGTTTTGGTGAAAACTGAAAAGTATGGATTCGGACTTTGGACTACCCAGAGAACTCTCTGATCTACAAAAGCTCCGATCCCAATACAAGCCGGATCTTCCTCCTTGTCTTCAGGTATCTTCATTTATATTTGTCTATGTTATACTTTTTTTCATCGCCACCCGCTTGCTCGTTCCTCATTTACAAATTTACACTGCTTTATAGTCATCGTAGAATCAGAATGTACGATGTTCTGACGGTGTTCTGTGTGCCGCTAAATGTTCTAGGTTTTTCGATTTTGTATTCGAATTCCGCTCGTTACAACGACTGATTACATACTTTACCTGTGGATGTTCGGACGTCTTACATCCAGTCTATCTTGTATCTTGCGTTGCATTAGATCTGACGTGTTACCCCCCATCTTGTTCCATCATCTTTTTTGAAAGCAATTCGTGTCTTCTCGTGGGTGGGCTTCTCAATTATTTTGATGTCAGTCAGATTTAGTCAAAGTCGTGGAGTCGTGCTAGATTCTATTCTGTCTTGTAATCGGGATATACTATAAACTGTTACACTTTGTTTTTCATCTCCGTAGATTTTGTAAGTAAAGAGTGGAGTCAATGTTATACTATTCTCACGAGTAATCAGTATGTACTTTAGAGTTATAAATTATTCTAATGCTTGTTTTTCTTTTCTGTCTCTGTATTTTACTATTTTTAAAAAATTAACAATGCATTCTTTGTGTATTTGTGGAGTCTAAAGTATTAAAACAGGTTTAGATATATAATTTAATTATTACCTTAAGATATCAAACAATTGTGTTCAATTCATATGTGTGGGTTCTGTTGCGCTAGTACTCTTCATTTTCATGTGATGACTTGCTCCTGGACACTGCAAGGTTTGGTGTGGGTTTAATTTTTTATTAGTTATTGGTTTCTATTTCATATTGAACAAATCCCTTGGTTATTTGACTGCTAGTATCACCTTATTTCTGGGAACACCTAATCTATTCCTATTCCAAAAGGGCACTACTGTCCGTGTGGAATTTGGCGATGCAACCACGGCTGCAGATCCCTCTGGTGGACATACAATAAGTAGATTGTTTCCTCACACTTTTGGTCAGCCATTGGCTCATTTCCTCAGGGCAAATGCCAAGGTTCCAGTTGCGCAGATAATTACGGAGCACCCGACAATTAGGTATATGTTTGAACTTTTATGATTATATCATGTCTTCATTCTGCCTTGTTGTACTTGCTGATCACAATGATATAGATACTAGATAATTACTAATGTTATCTCTTTACTATTTGTATTCATCATATAATTTTGGTCCTTCTGTGTGTTACTATTGCTCTAAGTTTATTTAACTTTATCATCTCATGTATTATCCCTATTACTGCTACTTGTAAAGCAGCTGCTAAGTTTTGAAATACACACACTCATTTTTTAACCTTCATGGTATTAGAGCTTTTGAGTTTCTGACGTGTGAGATTCTTTTTCTTCATTTTTGGTCACCCTACATCATCAATATTCTGTGCAGTTTATACACCACCTTTATTTATCTCATATAACAATTCACTTCCTACTATGTAAACCCCTCCCTCCGATTGTGAGCGCTCAGACGTTGAGCTTCATTCCTTGACCAATCTCCAAACCACTATAATCTTAATTCCTAATCATCAAGAGCCCAAGAAACATTTGGTCTCCCTCAATCTTTCTATTAAACTCAATCTTGTTATTAAACTCAACACCACCAACTTTATCTTCTGGATGGTACACACCATGTCATCCCAAAACAATTTCAAAAAATGGGGCCATAAGTTCAAATACAGCATACTTGTCATGGATCCACCAAGACCAGCTTCTTTTTGGCGCAATCATTGGAACACTAACTCTTTGGGTTGTTCCCCTAATCATTCGTGCTATGCATTCCAAAGAGGCCTGTGAGAATCTTGCATCAGTCTATGCTCAGCCTTTCTGAGGGAACATAAAACACCCTAAGTACCACATTAGAAGATTCACTAAGGGATCCGAATCCATTAGTAATTATGTGCATTTTCTAAAAAATGCATTTTCATTGAAATTATCTTAAATGGCTTGGATCACGGGTTTACCCATGATAGATGTGGTTGAAGGATGGGTGACATGTATATCCTTCATCGAGGTACACAAATAGTTGATAAATCGAGTGCTCAAAATTCAACAGTAACTCTGTGAATCATTGTGTCTTCCAGTAACTGTCAATTCGCTGCAAGGTCATCAGTACAAACTGTCATTTATCAGGCCGGGTGGACATGGCCCCTCATACAACAATTGTGAGCATTGAGCAGCAAGGCCGCATTAGCAATGGAAACACAACACGCCAATCTAACAGACCATACCTTGGTTTCTATCAAGCATGCTGGGCTCAAGATTATACAACCCGCAATTGCCCTCCTTTTCTCCTCACCTCTATCAACTCGCACAGGCAACAAACTTGCATCCAATTCCTCTGGCTGGACAACACCACGTTCATCTCAGCTCTAGCAGTCATCCACGACTACTTGGCAGCCCCAAGCAAATTGTGCCCTAAACTCCATTATCAACACTCTTGGACCGTCTCCATTCTTAACAATGCCACCCATCATATTACATCTGATCTACATAATTTATCACTGCATTCTTCATATCCTGGTGCTGATGAAGTCATTGTAGCTAATGGTAGCAGTCATCCTATCAGTCATGTGGGTTTCAGTTATCTCTCTCCCTTTCTCATACTTTTTGTCTCAATAATTTATTATGTGTTCTCCATATCCAACTTATATTTGTAATCCCAATGCTGTTAAAATAACGATGCACCCATTTAATTCTACCTACTTCTCAAGGGTTGTACAAAAGAGGGTTGTATGGATGACCATTTTCCAGTAGCTCAAAACTGCTCCCAACTAGTGGCATTATCGGTTGGGGCACCTTGCGTCCAATATACTTCATCATGTCTTAAATACTCATAATTTGACAATAAACTGAGTCTTCTCTCCTATCTCTTACTGTGATTCCTCTCAGTATAATAGAAAGTCATAAACTACCATTTAATAAATATACCATAATGTCATCACAATTACCTGAATGTTATTCTTTCTCACAACCCGTTATATCCATTGACAAGTTCAAAAACTATGTCATATTTGTTGACTACTTCGCTAAATATACATGGTCTGATCTAATAAAGAAAAAAATCCCAAGACCTTGCATGTTTTTAAATTCTTTTTACCCCTTAGTTGAAAATAAAATTAAACTAAAAACATTTTTTTTGACAATGGGGTGAACATCTAGTTTTAATCCCATAACTCACCTCTCTTGGGATTTCCAAGTTACATGCTTACCTCACAAACCGAAATGCAATGGCTTTGCAGAACAGCGTGACGTTGTCATTGGTACCTGGTTGAAACTGGTCTTACCCTCTTTCACCGTGCATTTTTACCCCACACTATACCTCAAGTCTCTTTACGTGTCTCTCTCACACCCAACCTAGCTATGATAAACATTCGGTCTTTGGGTGTGTGTGCGATTTATGGATCTGGCCGTGAACACTCCTAAACTCCAACAAAAATCTATTACATGCATCTTCTATGAACACTACACTGAAATTGCTTGCAACCTACACCTACATTTGCCTTGACTAACTCATGACCGAGTCCACATATCACGCTAGGTCCAACTTGTTGAAGATGTGCTTCCTTTTAACTCTCTTCAACCCAACATACTCTCTCTGTTAATATAAACATTACCATATTGCTCCAGCCCCATCATATTATTCCCCCTCTCTCATTGCAAGCCAACTGCTCACCCACAGCCAAATCACCCACCGAGCTTCATCATCTGTCATGTAACCCATTGATAAGGATGATCCCATGTCTTATGCCCTTTCTCATGGTCCAGAGTCTGCATATGAAAGTTGTTATCCTCTTGTCATATTGTTACTCGATCCATGAATAATATCTGACATGCCATCCTAAAACTCAACCTACTGCTCATGTTCCCACATCTTTAATAGAACCTATAAAAAACTTGCTACCATAAAGGAAGCTTTAATCTAATCCTCAATGGTGCCTTGCAATGACAGAATAATTTAGGGAAATTACCCTAAATAGGACTAAAAACGTGTTACGGATGCATTTTATGGATCTAGCAGGAGATTTAATTAGAACAGTTTAATTACAAGAGGGAAATTATCCTGATGCTATTTTTATATTTTATTTATTACTTCCTATTAGGAATAGAAGTATTAGAGGTTACAATTTCTATTAGATTAGAAGACCTATTAGTAATAGAAGTATTTAGAGGTTACAGTTTTAGTTAGACTAGAACTCTATCATGTAAAGGCAGGATGCCTATTTATATTCCTTTTTCAGCCTTAATAAAATACCGATCATTAGAAGAATTAATCCCCAGAGAGAAGTCACGGACTTCCCCCTTCCCCCTGCGCTCTTACTGCGCTCTTCCAGCCACGGGCAAGAAGAGGAGTAACCCTAGCAGACAGGTTATCACCTCAACCGGGTACCCTGCTACCCCAAGACGTCCCTGGAGTCCTGGACTCGTTCTCAGTCACAGAACCCTAACAAAACGTTTGTATATTCCAATTTCCAAAATAGGATTATCACGTTTTTATTCCCAAAGTGGGCAGCACCAGACTTTAAACATGACAATATTTTCCAAACTTGGCAGTAGTTACTTCTATTTTGGGAATAAAAACATGGCAGTCTTATTTTGCAATTTTCAAACTTTTTTACCCCTATTTCGGGAATCTTGCCAATAATTTAATGCCTTAGTACTCAATGCCCATGGACTTTGGTACCAAGACTGGGAACACGAAATGTTGTTGGATCATTGGATGTAAGTTTGGCTCCCAAATGAAAGGTGTAAAGCACGCCTTGTTGCCATGGAGTTTCATCATCCCAAATGCTATCTCATGGAGCTCTCACAAAAAAAGAACAGTTACCCGCTGTTCTACTTAAGTTGAGTATCGGTCAGTCACTCTGAAGTTAGATATGCCTTATCCCTTCTTGGTGAATTGCACATTCTCATTTCTGCTTTAGCAGTTATATTCTGTGTCAATGTCGGAGCTACCCACTTATCACTTATGTGCCAACCCGGCCTTTCACTCTAGGATGATACACCTCGCCATTGCCTATCACTTCATACAAAAGCATGTTCAAAACAGTATTCTAGACATTACTCATGAATCATGCCCAATTTGAAGATAAGCTTGCCAATGCTCTCACTCTTTACCAATCCAACCATTTCAAGATTTCTTTTCCAAGATTGGAGTTCGCTGTTAGGCATCCAACTTGCAACTTCCGGGGCATGATAGAAAAAATGGATTATCACTGATGTTATCTCTTCACTATTTGTATTAGTCTTATATATCTTATATTTTTGTCTCTACAGTATGCTAGTATCTCTCTACCATTATTTACTATTGTAACTAATTTGGGAGACCTACTTACATCCAATAAGGCCACATACAAAGGCTCTTGGGTGTCTGACAGTGAACTGTTTATAATTTGGATACAGTTGTTGACTTGTTGATGATTGGGTGTCTGACATCCACTTACGTGTTGGGTGGAGAAATATTTGGGAGACCTACTTACATCCAACAAGGCCACATACAAAGGCTCTTGGGTGTCTGACAGTGAACTGTTTATAAATTGGATACAGTTGTTGGTGATTGGGTGTCTGACATCCACTTACGTGTTGGGTGGAGAAAAATTTGGGAGACCTACTTACATCCACAAACCGTTGTTGGTGATTTAGCAAAAGGCCGCATACACATTGCCGAAATACCGATACCAATTGATAATCCAAACGAACATTTCGCTGTAGAAAAATGAAGCACCAATCGTTTGGATTATAAATTGGTATCACTATTTCGGCATTGTGTATGCGGCCTTTTGCTAAATCACGTTAGCACATGAACGCTCCTAGAATCATGCGTCTTATATAGTAATATCAGACTGACCTTCTTGGCTATTCTGTCATGTAGATGGATGTATATCCTTCGTCACCCTTCTCTTACAAACTGGACCATTTCATGATTGACCGATTCTTTATATTTCCAACAGGGTGGGGCTTGTTTTCTCTGGTAGACAATCTCCAGGAGGGCATAATGTTATATGGGGTTTGCATGATGCAATCAAAGTTCACAATTCTAAAAGTACATTGCTTGGATTTTTGGGTATGTTCTCTCTATTTAGTTTTAGGGAGTGTGCACCTTAATTGTGGAGAATGTCGTATATATTTATGCCTATCGTTCTGGCTGTAGCTGTTTGCACATGATGTTTTCAGGTGGTTCTGAAGGTTTATTTGCACAGAAGACACTTGAGATCACTGATGACGTTTTGGCTACCTATAAAAATCAAGGTAAGCCGCATTACTTTCAAGAATTGTTAAGTAACTATCGTGGAGTATTTTTTATGTAGACTTATGTACATTATCTGGATTTGATTGCATCAAGGTGGCTATGATATGCTGGGGAGAACACAAGATCAAATTAGAACAACTGAGCAAGTTAATGCTGCACTGGCTGCTTGTACATCTTTGGAATTGGATGGCCTTGTTATTGTTGGAGGTATTAATGCTTTGAGCTGTTTCTCCAAGTTGTGTGATGTTTTCATTGAACAAGACTGTGATTTCTCTAATATATTGCCACTTTTTATAGGAGTAACATCAAACACAGATGCTGCTTATCTAGCAGAGGCTTTTGCGGAAGCTAAATGCCTAACAAAAGTGTGTCTTGTTTCAGGCTTTTCTTTTTATTAAAATGTACTTAGTATGTTAGTATATACACATTCATGTGCACACATGTACTTATTTATTGGCAATTTCCTTTATATTCCCAAGTTTGTTTGTGACTGAATCTGCATTTATCATTCTCTCAGGTCATTGGAGTTCCAGTCACATTGAATGGGGATCTAAAGAACCAGTTTGTAGAGACAAATGTTGGTTTTGATACAATATGCAAGGTACCAACCTCTATTTTTGTTTTGTCATGAGATAATACATGGAACACACTACTTCACACGAAGAGTGTTACATACCTCACTGCACCTTAATCTCTTTTCATTGATGACTTGATATGTTTTATGGATATTTCTTAGTTAGTATTAGCTCTGACCCAAAAAAAGTATTGTTTGTAATGTTCAAATTAGTATTACAAACAAGACTGAAGACTCATTTTGGGACAAAGGATGTGTATTTTATCCAAAGTCTTGTTTATTGACATCTGTAGAAGTGTAGATGCATTGTGTAACGGCAGCAATTAGTTTACTTGGTTTATACCTTTTGAATTTCTCCCCTTGTTTTCAATTAAATAAATAAAGATTAAAAATGAAGGGTAACACATAGAAGTGCATTTTTGCTTCACTGCATTATCTTCCTCTTAAGGGCAGGAAGAAAACTTATTGATCTAATTTTTCACTTTGGTGCTTTTCCGCAGGTTAATTCTCAGCTCATTAGCAATGTCTGCACAGATGCACTCTCAGCAGAGAAGGTTATGATTTCTTTTTGTTGTTGTAATGTTGATTTTGGATTAAGTTGTTTCACATTCTCTTCCTAAGCTTTAAGTTTTAACATCATACCATGCATCAAATAAACTCTCCTATCACCTTTGCTTAGTAAATATTTCATATTCTTAGCCTGTATTTGTACTTACTACTTATGCATGCCCTCCAGTTTATTGACACGTTTTTTCTCTTTTTGCAGTATTATTATTTCATCAGGCTGATGGGGCGAAAGGCATCACATGTTGCCTTAGAATGCACCCTTCAGTCACACCCAAATATGGTTTGTATTCCTCGTCTTTGTGATGTAATCTTCTGCCCTTTGGGTAATTTATGATTTGCACCCAAGAAAATACATGGAAAACTTTCTTTCAGGTAATTCTTGCTGAGGAGGTAGCTGCATCAAAGCTTACTCTTTTTGACATCACACAACAAATTTGTGATGCTGTGCAGGCCAGGGCGGAACAAGGCATGCGTTGTTATTGATTTCATCTCTGTATACATGATAGAATCCAAAAATTGACTGTAAATTCAGTGTATTACTGTAGAACGTCTGAGAATTATAGTGACAGAAAACAAGGAAAACAGAAAAGTAACGGGGCTGGTTCGAGAGTGTCCCCCTCTCCCAAGCAACTACCCAATTTCTGCCTACGCTCCTTATTTCCTCCCTCCAACTCTTATACCAATTCTATTCTTTAGGGCCAGCCCAAACCCATGACTTACATGGCCCAGAACCCTTATTTTTACACTACCACAATTATTTAATATAAGTCCATTATTATTATAAACCCCCTTCTGCCCAGGGTCCTATCATATCTCCTCCCTTGGGCAACCACCTTGTCCTCAAGGTGGGAGGTAGGAAACTGCCCTGACCATCATCTTCATCCTTGCACCTCTTCCTTCCCGGTACCTCACTGATTTCTGGACTAGGAGCTTCATTACTTGAACCTCCATCATCACTTCCTCAGTCCAGTATTTCCCTAAGATTTTCACAGCCTTTTCATATATCTCATGGTTATCGAAAATCTGGAGATTCACAATCGTGTCTAATCCGTCATGTTCGTCAACCATCTGCGCATATAAATTGACCCCACCATTCAATCCCATTTCTTTGTCTGCCTCGCCTACCTCCAGAATATTCTCCCGCCCTTCAAGACATATAGTAACAATTCTTGGGTCTTGGCTTAACAAGAGATCATAAAGCAGCTTAATGCAGCCTTGACTTGCCACACACTTAATTTGATCATGAGAGCCTCCAGAAGTGGCATTAGAGATAGCCCCTGCAGCCACTTTCCTGATGTCAACTTCTGCATTTTGAAGGAGGTGTACCAAAAGAACAATGATAGATGCCTTAATAACTGCCTTTATATGATCTCTACTCCCATCTATGATATTAGATGTAGTCCAACAAGCTTCGGTCCTAACTTCTTCATCATTCAGGTGGATGAGTGGCTGAAGAACTGGCAATACAGCTTTGACCCGGTCAAATGGTGTTGGTGGCTTGCCTCGCCAGAAGCTTGACAAAGTCCATGTAGCATTTCTCAACATATAAAGCTTTGAATGCTCATTTAACTGAACTCCCAATGGTAAGAGTGCACCATGATCAAGAACCTGATCCCTGCAGATTGGGGCATCACATGCAACCTTTCCTAAAGCCCAGACAATTGGAGGGCTACATTCAATTTACAGCAGCTTTCTAAATGGTGTCGTTGCTTCAATTCGTGCAGATGTAGCTTCTGATTCAGAACTAGCAGAACCGCACCACAATGTATCAATGTTGGTATTGGTAGTAGGTTGCTCAAGGATGTTTGCACGAGAAGATGATGGATGTGCATAACTCTCATTCTGCTCTTGATTACCATTAGTCATCATCTTATTTGATTCATTATAGCAGCCAATTTCATTTTCTCCTGGCTGTAAAATAAGACTCACTTTTTTCCTTTTCATATGGCTTCTCTTCAACCTCTATTTCCTGAACTGCATCGTACTTTCCATTCATTGTAGATGAAACTCGATGCAAACTTTAACCCAAGTCCTGCCAACTAACTTCATCCAAGGTATCCATTGCACAAAGGATATATAGGTTGACTGCATTCTTTTTGCCCTTGTCTATGAGCTCTTTCTTCAGCCTGTAGCATGTGTGCAGGTTCCCTTGTCAGCTCCAAAAGGACAACATATTGAGCTGCTGACAGGTTAGTCCTGAGCCACCGGCAAGTATTCCAATATTGGCAATCTTAACCTCCTTTGAGTTGTGGAATGATTGAATAGAAGACTGCCTTTCATAAGCAGGTGTATACCCATCAATACGAACGTGGCTTATTCTGTTATCAGAAACATATTGCTTCACTCCATCAAGAATCTTAGGATAGAATATGCTTTCTACCACAGCTTCACAGCTCTCTAGTGCAGTCTCCCCATCCTCCAAATGTTTTTCAGATTTAGGACTACAGAGATATATTCCCCATTCATATCTTGTACTCAGAAGTAATATCATATTAGGGCTATTCACATCACTGAACTCTTGAATCTGTCTTCTCCTTTCACCCAATTTGACATTGCCATTAATTCTGCAGACTTCCAACTTTTTTTTGACTAAAACAAAACTCAAGTATGTCAAACATTTTAGTTCACTGAGAGAAAATCAGAACCATGCGTTCAAGCAGTTTTCCAACAAATTCCTTGTACTTTCCAGTAGACCCTACCCCTAACCCCTTGTGATTATACATCCTGAAAGTCATGCCATCACATCTGAAGCCATCAATTTTTTTCAGCCCATCCAAAGTAAGTTTTGATGAGTGAATGTGCCCAATATCCCTTAAAACACCCAATCCAGGTTCATGAACTATATATCAATCAAAGATTTAAATGCTTCTGGGTTTTGGTCTAGTGCACTAGCATACCTCCGGACATCAGAAGTTTCGAATCTCCTGTCATCTGTAGCCCGTTCAAACACCTGGTATTAAAATTGTTCTCAGGTACCAAGTGATAAGAACAATTTGATAGATGCCAGTCAATCTCCCTTTGTGGGTGGATATGACTTTTGTTAATGGACACCTCCTGCTCATTTGATGTAGCCTGCAAACCGATGGTTCGATTCTGCTGCCTCTGCATAATGGACACCTCTGCATAATAATAATAAATAATAGGCTTGCACACTGATGCTGCTGCCTAGGGTTCGATTCTCCTCTGGATCTCGTTTCGCTTGCATAGAGATCTCGCCGCAAGTTGGAGTTTTCCTTCTGATCGTTTCGCGCTTTGTCGCGGATTGACAGAGGATGAGGAAGCCTGCAAACTGACAGTATCTGCTCACGATGAAGCCAGAGAACTGGAAGGAGTTGCTTGCGACTGAGAACAAACTTGTGAACTTAGAACAAGTGATAGCAACGAAGTCTGCGAACACGATGAACTCTGTGAAGTGTGAGTAGCTGTTCGCGACACCCTCTGCGAGTGGGAACATTTGCTTGTGGCAAAGTTTGCGACGACGATGGGACCTGATTTTCAGACTTCCGACGGTGTCTAGGGTTCCTCGATCGGCCCCTAGGTCGCTGGTGACTCTACTGGACCATGACATTCTGCATATCGTCAATCAGTGCTCGGAAATTGCTCTCCACATTCTCCAGTTGGTAATCCATTTCTGAACTCACCAGAATACCAATGATAGAGACTCCAAAAATTGACTGTAAATTCACTGTATTACTGTAGAACGTCTGAGAATTACAGTGGCAGAAAACAAGGATAACGGAAAAGTGACGGGACTGGTTCGAGAGCGTCCCCCTCTCCTAAGCAACAACTCAATTTCTGCCTACCCTTCTTCTTTCCTCCCTCCCACTCTTATACTAATTCTATTCTTAAGGGCTGGCCCAAACCCATGACTTACATGGCCCGGAACCCTTAATTTTACACTACCACGATTATTTAATATAAGCCTATTATTTATTATTATTATTATTACTATTGTAAACCCCCTTCTGCCCAGGGTTCTATCAATATACTAGTCCTTTTTAGTTAAGAACTGTCCTTTTTATTTAAAAACTGTCTGACTTAGATTTTGGGTCCAGATAAATACCATGGTGTAATCCTATTGCCTGAGGGTCTCATTGAAAGTATTCCTGAAGTATATGCTCTACTAAAGGTGCCATATAAAAATGAAGCTAATTGTTTTGTTATTACATTCTTCCTCTCTAAAGCTTTAAAGTTTAAACAACATCCATTTTTATTAATTTGTTTTTTTTTTGTCCAGGAAATTCATGGTTTGCTCAGACAAGGTATTTCTGCTGATAACATTTCCTCCCAATTGTCACCATGGGCATATGCACTTTTTGAATTTCTGCCTCCCTTCATAAGAAAGCAGGTAAATCTAATTGGGTCTCCACAAACCTAGCTTCATGAATTATTTTCGAATTTTCGTGGTGCTTAATCTGGTAGCATTGCAATGTTACAGCTCCTCCTGTATCCGGAATCAGATGACTCAGCTCAGCTATCTCAGGTAACTGATAATCTGCTTTAATGGTTGTTCTGTATGATGGATTTGTCTCATTTAATGATGATGTGCTTTTCATTTCTCAGATTGAGACAGAAAAGCTTTTAGCTTTTCGTGTAGAAGAAGAAATGAACAAACGAACAGTAAGAAAGCAGTGCATTTGGCTTCAATATGTGGCACATTCCGCCTTTGACTGGATGTTTTTTATTGCTCTAATGTTCTTTTGGCTATGTATGTTTGCCATGGAAAATAGTTCTTTTATGCTTGGGTTTAATTCGGTAAACATGAAGGATAATCAATTCTAATTAAAACTTTTTAAAGTTTGCATATATTTATATTTATTTGACTTTATATTGTAGAAATGTAGATTTAAAATGTGTTTGAACAAATATCTTAAATTGATTAAATGAGTTTGGTCCCTTTTTTATTTTTCCTCATGTTTTTGGACACTACGTCCGTCCCATTTAAATGTTCTCATTACTTTTTGGCCCGTCTCAAAATTACCCTCCTGTTTACTGTAATGAAAGAATTGTGTGGTTGTAATTGACTCTTTCCTTTCTAAGTAAATTTATAAATCTAACCAGCACAATTCATTTTCTTAGACTTCATGCAAAGTCAAAAGGGTAAACTAAAGAAGGATGAAGGGGGTATTGATTTTAGTGTACAGTTTATCTCTGAAGCATTTTGGCGTGTGCTTGCATATACAAGGCTGTACTCTATTTGGATATTCAAGATTGGACAATGCTTTGCCATGATTGTCGAATTTTTGTGTATTCATGTTTATGGTCTGTTTTCTTCAGAAAGAAGGAAAGTATACGGGGAAGAAATTCAATGCTATTTGCCATTTCTTTGGTTATCAAGCTCGCGGATCTCTGCCATCAAAGTTTGATTGTGACTATGCTTATGTGAGTTTTTTGGCGGATAGTACAGGTCAAATGCTTTGTCTTAAAAGTATTTGGACTTTTAACATCTATAAACATTAATCTTTCAAGGTTCTTGGCCATGTCTGCTACCATATTTTGGCTGCTGGCTTGAATGGTTATTTGGCAACTTTAACTAACTTGAAGAATCCTGTGAATAAGTGGCGCTGTGGTGCTGCTCCAATAACTGTAAGCTCTAAGCGATATTGTCTCGGATGATGTGAACTTCTTCACTGTGATTCTTTTCCAGTCAGTTTATACTTCATAATACGTAATACATTCATTATATACTGTATTGATGTAAGACCATATTGTGAGCTTGCAGGCTATGCTGACGGTTAGGCGTTATGGTCATGGTCCTGCTGCTTCATCCTTTGGAAGGCCTGCTCTTCATCCTGCTACTGTTGATTTAAGAGGAAAAACATATGAGTATGTCAGTTTCCTCTTTTATTTTATCAATATTAGTAGGTCTTTTAGCCCCTCTTTGGTTGGAGTTGGGAGGGGGGACATGAGAAAGTGAAGTGACATGTGTATGGCTGGGGAAGTTAGGGGTGCTGAGGAGGGGAGGAGCAATGGGAATCTTTGGAACTCTTCATATCACTCATCCCCGCCATCTTAGGACATTTTGGAGGATTAATATTTTCTTAATTTGTTTTACACATTTCTTAAGTTGTTTTAGATTATGTTTGAGGAACTGGTCCAGCCCAGCTCGTTGTCGACTCACTCTCCCTTACGGGAGGTCTTGGGTTCGAAACTCAATGGAGTGAGTTTCAGCCTTGATTACTCCAAGCCCCCAGACCCCCTCCTCCAGATGCCCCCTGGAGTAAAAAAATCACGACAAAAGTACATCAACTATTTCAAAATAGTTCCCATGCTCCCATGTGCTTTGGGCACACTTATAAAGAAAACTAAATTGATTATTTGAGATTTATTTAGAAAGAAGAGAAGCAGGGTATCAACTACATATTTCATTAAAAGGTAATTAGAAGATGGGCAAACAAGGTAGTTTTGAGAGAGGGTTATAATACTCGAGTGTTTTTCTAACAATAATTCCCACAAACTCCTCCATTGATTCATTGCCATGTAAATAGAATCAGTATTGAACTGTTGTTTCTCAATTGAGTCGTAAGACAGAAGAATCTTATCGCATTGAATTCAATCAGTTTATTAGTCTAACACAAGATTTTATGAAGTCATATAAAAAAGGAAATCAGAAATAAATTGAGTATAAAGGTTTTATTTTGTTTTCTAAAATATTAATTCCCACAACTTCATTGAACCTACCATTTATTCTGAACTCCATTTTGCTTCCTTTCCTTTCCCATTTTTCTCACCCTTCACAACTTTGGGTGTTAGTAAAATTAGGATTTGAATAAGCGACATATTGTGTTTTGCAATCAACAGATTTAAAATTGGGCTGTGGGTGCTTTATTGAATCACAATGCATATGTATGATTCAAATCATATTAAAAGATTGAATTCAAATATTCATTCAATCTATTAGTCTGACACTATTTTACTGATCATACTAATTATGTTTCAAAAAGGTCTGACAGCTTTTTCCAACTAGGCTACACCAATTCGTTTTGCCGCTTTTCCATGGGCAATATTTAAGATAAGCCAAATTTTGTCGAAAAAATCTTTGGCATTTTGAGTTTATCACTTGAGCACAGTTTTGTACATAATTCCAAATCAAATATTTGTATTTTATTTTATAGGACAGTTTGAGTTTATCACTTGAGCATAGTTTCCATTCTATATAGTTAATCTAATAGGAGTAGCTCAAGATCTTACATAATGTTTTATTATCTCATACCATTCCGGTGTAGATTCGGTCCGGTGTAAAGCATTTACTTTAACATGCCCCTCGGCTCAAACCGTGCCGGATAACATCGGGTGTATAAATAGGCCAAACAAATCCTTAACAAGCTACCTCACAATTGAACCTGGCTTTGATACAATGTTAAAATCCGAGATTCCATCCTAACAAGTTAACCTAATAGAAGGAATAGTTCAGGATCTTATATATTATTTTATTATTTCATACCATTTCGGTGTAAGACATTTACTTTAACATTCTTAATAATATGGGGCTTACTTGTTGCAGGCTTTTGAGACAGAATGCCACGACGTTCTTGTTAGATGATGTGTACAGGAATCCAGGACCTCTTCAGTTTGATGGCCCAGGTGCTGATGCAAAGGCTTTAACTCTTTGTGTCGAGGATCAAGATTACATGGGCCGTATCAAAGAGTTGCAGGAATATCTTGATAAGGTACTCAACTTTCCTTGCCATATTAGCATATAAATCACAACATGCAATGATGCAGAGCTATGTAACACCGATATGGGAATGCCGAAACGGGTATGAGGAACAAAACAAAAAAGTAGGATACTGTTACAGGGGTATATTCATAAAAGTAGTATACGCATATTTTTAATAGTGCAAGGGTTTAGGTGATAATACGTGAAACCCCAAGGTCGGTGATAATATGTGAAACCAGAAGGTCGGTGATAATTTCCCTATTTATACTTAGAGATGCACTGTGTATATAAGATAAAGTATGAATTTGTTTCTACTTTTTTAAGAAATTGCCCAAAATGGGACTAAAACATGGATTAGACTCCAAAATAGGACTTTAAGTTTTTTATTCCCTAAATAGGACTTCAGATTACATTTTTGCCCTTCTCTAATTAAAATCCCAATTTCTCGCTTCTCAATTCATCGCTGCAATTCATCCATAGCTCTGACATTAAATTTTTTATTCCCTAAATAGGACTTCAAAACATTTTTGCCCTTCTCTAATTAAAATCCCAATTTCTCCTCCTCCTCCTCCTCGGATTTTTAGATTTGAATTTTATTTAGAAATTTAGATTTAATTTTATTTGTTCAATAAAATGCCACTTGTACAATCTGAGAATGTCAAAATTATTGATTATTTGAAAAAAATGCCACGTTTGTGGCAGTACATTTACCAAGATGTCAATTCGAAAATGTCATTTTTGTTTCGAAAATGTCATAAAAGTGACATTATTACTCTGAAAATGTCATTTTCTTCTTTGAAACTGTCAACTTAGCAAATGTTATGTCATAAAAGTGACATTATTACAAACCAGTGTTCAATTAAACATCAACTATGGCATTTTTCCGATTAAAATGGTGAGAAAAATAATACTCCCTTCGTCCCTTATATAACTTTGCCAACTTTACTTTTTTGGATGTCCCACTAACTTTGCAACTTTCTTTTTTAAGTAAACAATTTGTGGTTCCAGATAATTCTCTCTCCTCTCCATAAACCTCAACCACACAGTTTTTACTTTATTAATCTCCGTGACGGTCAAACTTGGCAAAATTATTAGGGATGGAGGAAGTATGAATCTTTTTAAATAAATTGCTTAGGATTAATAAAAAATTGGAAATCCAAAAGAAGAAGAAAATAGAAGAGTTGTAGAAGAAGAAAACAAGGGAGCTTGATAAGAAATTAATGGAGGACCAGTGAATCGTCCTAGCAGGAATTAAGAAGGTTATTTTTGTCCAAATACAAATAATTAGTCCTATTTAGGGAATTTAAAACAATGTCTTACTTTTGCAAATCTATCATCTTTTACTCCTATTTAGGGAATTCTCTCAATTTTTTTAACTGCATTGATAGTGTGAAATACTTCAATGTCATGAATGAGCATAATATATGTAATAGATTTTTAAAAAAATTGTTGTACTTTTATAATATTTATAAATACACCCCCGTAATTTTTTACTATAATGAGAATTTAAATAACTCATAATCATGTTTAGCAAAATTATAGATTTAGTTCAGTAAATTTACCCACTTGCAATTTGCATATTTGATTTGGTGACAAATAATTTATCCGCATTAAGAATCTTTCCACGAGAAAGTACACTTTGTGGCGAAAAATTTAACATCTTTTCTAGTATGTGCTTTTGCGGGATGTGTACTTGATGAAATAATCCTTGATATAAACATATATATTATTTACCTAAGCACATATACCCACAAAATGACTCGGACTACTACCTCTACCCGGTTGACGCGAGGTTTGACACCCCACATAAACTGGCTGCTGCACTCAAGCGTTACAAGTCATCACACTTGGAGGCCAAGACCTACCAACCATATCTAAAAAAGGCGATCATTTTTCACAACAAATTCAACAGGTCTATTTCAGCTGCTGTGGGGACCCCTACACAAAATTTCAATTGTTAAAGTTTTAGTACTTGTTTGGTTTGTTTTCAGAATTTTCTTTTGTAATTCCAAACTTTGTTTAATAAAATAGGGAAGTGTTCCTCGACACTCCCCCACCCTGTGTGGTTTTCTTCGGGATTTAAAAAAACATCTATATGAGAGTTAATTTATAGAACTAATTAATAACAGATAAAATTGAAAAGTACGAATTTTAAACAACAAATCTGTATTACTTTTAAAAGTTCAAAAATATCTATGGATTGTAGAGATCTGGGCTGGTGAAATATACATCTCGCATCGGGTTTTTTTCTCACGTGAAAAAAGATAACTCCCTCTATCCTTAATTTATCTCCTGAAGTACAAATGACACATGAATTAAGATAGTGAATATTGTATGATGAAGAGTTGTGCAGAGGTGAGAAAAATGCGTAAGAATGTCTAAGAAATGATGTGAACCACAAATTCTTTGCTAAAAAGGGAAAGAGGGGATAATTTTAGGATGAACTTAAAAGCTAGGAAAGTTTGAAGATAATATTGGGACAGAGGGAGTACTAGTTTTTGCAGTCTTCTTAAAATCATCCACTAATATTTTTAGATGTAGTAAACATATTTTAAAATTTTGAATGAACATTATTTATAATTACAGTTGAGCTAAACTTTTGGAATATTATTTATACCTACAACATATGTTGGTGAATGATTTTTAGGACAATACTGTACTTATTAGAGTTTTATGGGAAATACTTACTTGAATGATTTTTCGACCTTGTCCTAAAGATCATTCACCAACATTTGTTTCAGGTATAAAATAATATTTCAAAAGTTTAGTTAAACTGTAATTCTAAATAATGTTCATTCAAACTTTAAAAATATTTTATTATAAGTGCTGAAGCTAATAGTCTTTTATCACGTGGAAAAAAATCTCAGGCGTGAGATGTATATTCCACCAAGATTTCTCCATTCTAATGGATATTTTTGGACTTCTAAAAGTAATAGAGATTTATTTTTTATGCTCGTATTTTTTTATCGTGTCTGCTATTAGTTCTATAAATTTACTCTTGTGTAGATGTAGTTCCTGGTAATATTACTCTTGGATCCAGTAATATTTTTTTTTCGTTACAAAGTGCACTTTCTGGTGGAAAAATTCGTAATGCCAATAAATTGTGTTACCGGATCAAATCTGTAAGTGGGTAAATTTACACGATTAAATCTATAATTTTGTTAAATATGATTAGGAGTTATTAAACATGATCTAGGTGATAATGTATGAAACCTCAAGGGAGGTAAGTGATAATTTCCCATATAAATATAGTAAAAAAAATCACTAATTTGAAATGGGAAACAAGTCAAACAACCACAATTTTGAAATTAAAAATGCATGTAATCAAAGATCTTGGATAAAAGGTTCTCAATAAAGACTTAAAACAATACTCTAATAAAAACTTCATGTTCATCATTGCCCTAGTGCCGCAAAGTCTCCCACATACGGTGAGGTAGGGGGGTTGGATGTACGTAGTTTTACCCCTGTACTAAAGCACTGAGAGACTGTTTCCGGATGACCCATAGTGAAAATCACATCGAAGCCATTTTGCTTGATTCCATCATATTCCCAAGACAAAAAATAACGAGTCTTTGGCTCCATTGCAAATGATGCAAATAATAAAAACTTAGTGTTATAATAAACATTTCTTAAGAGTTTTATTATTTAACTTTTGGGTGCTTTATTAAAAAAGGCTACTACATGTATCCGTGAGGATACGTGTATGTGTATCTGGCTTTTTAAAATAATTAAATAAATAAATAATTATAAAAAAAGTTGGAAACTTTTAAAAAATTGCAGATACAACTCGGGAACGTACGATACAAGTATCCTAGAGATTTGATACGGAAATGTTTCTAATACGTCGATACGTGCCACATAGATGCAAGTATCTGTGTCACAAGGAGGTCATGCTATTAATTTGAATTCTGAATCTAAAGACTAAAGCGGACTTTCTTAAGGAGCATCAATGACCTGTACTGGTTTGGCGCTGAGTAGCGGCTAGAATATAGTTAGAATCTGCCGTCTTTAACTTACTGAAGTACTACATTATTCTCATCAACAATACATTTTAATAGGAAAACCATTTGCCATGCAAAAATGTTAATATATAGAAACAAAAAAACTAAAATCATTAATATTATAATTTCACCACAAACCAAAATCATTAATATATATAGAAAATAAATAGTTTTAATTTTATTATTAATTATTGATCTTATAATGATGAGCGATTTTTGACAAGGGTACACTTAAATAAATTTGCCAACTTAATAATACACATCATTTTTAAGGCTTGGATGCTATTGTTATTGTTAGGGGCATGTTTTATGTAATTAGACCAAGTTACATTTGAAAGATCATTAATTTATAATTTTACCACTGTAGTGGTGAATACTAGTATGCTAAAACACAAAACAGCTGCTGCAGACCACTTATAATTTAAGGGGAAAATGATAATACTGATTCAAATGATTTCTTCGCTTTTATTCCCAATTATATCAATAGTCTCTGTATAGTCCCAACTGTATGGACCCTACTCCAAAATAGTCCAGACCTATTATAACCTGCTACTGCAAGTTACTTTTTAAATGGAAACTAAGAGTAGTACAAAGATATTCTCAACCTTTTTTTATGATAAAGATATTCTCAACCTTTTTTTATGATAAAGATATTCTCAACCTTGTTCACTCATGTTTATCAACCCCAACCATCAACTTTCAATTTAAATTAAAATGAATTAGCAAAGTTAATACTGTTTAAAGTTTGCTGCACTTTTCTTTTTGGGATGTATTTAAAAGTTTGCTACACTTTACCATCTTGGTAAGTTTCCCTTTTAAAATACTGACTTACCATTTACTTTTTCTATTTTTTGTCTTCTTTTTCTTACTTTTACAATCTCTCTTACTTTTTCTATGCTATTCATTACCCATACTACTTTTCTTCTTAAATGATGTGCCAAAGTCGTATGTAGCAATCTTTAAAATATAGGAGTATATAATTCCAAATTGGTTTTATAATTCCATTTTTTCCTATGTTGTCATATCGACTCGAGAGTCATTTTGCATGCAAAGTGATTGGGTCCTTGTAGTCTTGTACTAATCATTTCCGAAGCAAAATTTAAATGTATAGCACCAAACGTCCCCAATAATTTGACATGTAGTTGTGAAGTACCAACCAAGGTTTTAAATTGCGTATTGCGTAGTCGTGACGTTTTATTATTATTCCCTATTGCGTAAGCCTCATTGCGCAATGAGGCGTAGACCTGGGACGTAAAATGCATATATGTGTGTGTGTCTTTTAATATTAACACATAATTCAAATAATACGAAGCATTAACAAATTTCACATTAACAGAGAATGAAGATAATACCCAAATTTCGATTAATATTAAAAGTAAGATAATATGTAAAATATAATTCACTTTATATATCAATTATCAAAACAATTAAAGAATTTATTAACTGAAAATCTGAAATTAAGATTAAAGAAGCACCGGTGATTAAAGAATAATAAGAATCTATTAACTGAAATTGAGATTAAAGGACTAAAAGAAGCACTTGTGATTAATGAATAATATCAATGAACTGAGGTTAACAAAACAATGGACAACCATATACTTAATATTACTAAAATTAAGATAAATGTAGAATTAACTTTCTATATCAATTATCAAAACAACTACAGGATTTATTGACTGAAGTTAAGATTAAAAAAGCACCTGTGATTAAAGAATAATATCAATTATCAATTAACTGAAATTATCAAATAACGATTGACAACCATGAATCATATGCGTAGTATTACTTACAAAAAAAATTGAAGCCAAATTATAGAAGAAACACGTGTGATAAAGCAATTGAAGTATTAAGATGCCTGGGGGGAACACTGTCAACAAATAATTGATGGAGAGGAACACTTTTGGCAATCACGACTGACACATAGTTAAGCAGCAGCGAAGGGAATAAATAGCGTACACGCAGGATGAGGTAGGCTGTCGCATTAAAAAAATAAAAAAGTGGGCCATATCGGCCCACATATTGCTTCAACTGTTTAGGCGCTCGCCTCACCTCGCCTTGAGGCGCAGTATGCATTGCGTATGCCTCTGCGCAACAACGCTTAAGATTACAGACCTCCGCCTTTAGGCGGCTTTAGCAATGCAATAATCTGCCTCTCTGAATTTACTGTTGCGCGCCTTATTGCGGTATTGCATTGCACAATTTTAAATGATGGTACCAACTGTCCCCAACAATTCTACATGTGTATTCAGCATTATGTGTGTGCAGGCAGGCACATTGGTTGTTTATAGTGTGTGTCTAGTACAAGTTGTGGCTAAATCTCAGCTTGCTGAAGTTCTTTTGGGATCAGTAAGAGCGATTATTATTTATGTGCATGCACAATTGTTTTTTCCAGGTACGCACAATCGTGAAGCCAGGCTGCACCCAGGATGTGCTGAAGGCAGCTTTGAGTGCCATGGCTTCTGTAACAAATATTCTCTCAGTAATGTCAAATGGCGGGAACACGAACTTCTAAACAAATAGCAGGGCAGAGTTGGTCTATCTTCAAGAAATTTTGTGGCACACCACAATTATCAAGCATTCACTTTAGGCTATAGGTGGTGGAAAGCAATTAGACTTTGGTGTTTGAGTGTGTCCTCAGTCCAAGACTTTTAGGCTCCGTCTTTTGAACCCTGAAATTTTGAGTTGTGAAGAAAATGAGTGGATTATATCTGCGTTGTGACTTGTGAAGAATAATCCCTGTTTTTTATAATAATTTATTAGTAATAATATTTAACATTGGAAATAATGGTGTTGCTCCTGTTTGTATAGTTGTTGTGCTTGCCCCCATTAGTTGATCTCAGCCATATGTAGGGGTGGGCGTGGTCCGGTCTGCTCCAATATTTTACTGAACTCGTACCCGGTTCTTAATCATTTAAAGGCTACTCACTTCTCGGTTCTTATTAATGGCACACCAAGGCGTTTTTTCCAGCCACATAGGGGTGTGAAGCAAGGGGATCCTTTATCCCCCTACCTCTTTATCCTGGCGACTGAAGCTTTCTCTAGGGGATTGAAGAGACTGGTAGATGAAAATAGAATAAAACCATTCTGGATTGGGCAAGCTGGATATTCAGTTAGCCATCTCTGTTTTGTTGATGATATTTTGGTTTTTCTAAATGGGGATGCTAGGTCTATTTCAAATTTCAAAAGGTTTTTGGCACTGTATCAAAGGGCATCAGGCCAATCTGTTAATTTTGATAAAAGTAGTTTTGGAAGTGGTAAGACTTCCTTGGCTAGAATCGGAAACATGGAGAGACTTCTGGGGATGACAAAAACTAGCATGCCAATGAGATATATGGGATCAGCCCTGCACAAAGGTATAAACAGGAAGGATTACTGTCAGGACATTCTTCAATCCTTTGATAAAAAGTTAACTACTTGGAAGCAAAAAAATCTCAACTTTGATGGGAGAATTATTCTCATTAAGCATGTGCTTAATACCATTCCTCATGAATGACCTTGGTGCCAGATACACCAACATGGCAAATGGGGCTAGACATCTGTGGCTCTATGACTTTATCAACCTTAGCAACTTTGGTGCTAGGCCTTACAGAAGGGGACCCAAAAGAGGGGAAAGCATTTGATCAATATCAACAACCTTTAGAGAAGTTTGCATTTTCAGAAGGCTAATGTATCTGATCTCAAAATGCTTAATTTCTCTTATTCTATCAAGAAAAGAAACATTTTCAGCTTCTAGTTCATACCTTTCCTTAATCAGTAGGGTTGGACTCGGGCCGGGTCGGGCCTGGGCCGGCGGTTCTATATAGCTGGACTCGGGACCGGCCCGAGTAGCCACCGGGTCCGGTCCGGGGCCGGGCCGGGCCTCGGGTTTGGTTAATTTTTTTTTTTTTGCTTAGCTATCCATCCCTGACCCCCCCTCACCCCCACCCCCCAAACCCCTTCTAAACATCAAGCCCAACCCGGTGGAGCCCAAACAAATGAAAAAAACCAAAAAAAAAAAAATTGGCCCGAACCGGGCTCGGACTCGGCCGGGCCGGGCCTTGTTATGGGTGACCCGAGCCCGGACCGGAAACCCACTGGGTCGGGCCTACCCGGACCGGTCACTGACCGGGCCACCGGTTCGGGCCGGGTCGGAACAGTACCGGTCCCAGGCCGGTTCCGGGTCGGGCCACCCGGCCCGAGTCCAACCCTACTTAATCATGAGATTGATTTTTACCTCAGTCTCTTTTCTTAAGTCAGAGATCTCAACTTTTAGCTTACTGTTTTCTTCTTTGACTAAAGAATAAGTGGTTTGAATAGTTCTAAACTCTTCCCACAATGATGACATTGCATCATCATTCAAAGTTGTGCCTACCGAAGAGAAACGAGAGTGAGAGGAGGAGGTTACTCATCATCAGATTGCAAAGAATCTCAAAGAATTGAAGAACAAGGTTGTAAAGCTCTCAAAATTCGTCCTTAGGCTTCTTTCTAAATTCCCTCCCCCTCCAAACAAGTAAATTGCAACCTTATTTATAGAAAACAACGAATTCAGATTGAATTAGGACTGAAACAGGGAACGCACGGCGTGCGTGGTGTCCATGCGTCTGATGAGTTTGTCTATAGGATGTCTTCACATCCTTGCTTGCTTGAACAGCAACCACCTCCATCTTCCATTTTTTGACAGTTTTGCACTTCTTGATTCTGTTGAAATATCTATCATCAATGGACTTGTAAAGGATGTCCTTAGTAATATTGTTCAATTGTATTTTCTCCTCTCTTTAGTGGTCCACTCAGATTTAGCTTTGTTGATTATCTGTGGCCTTGTGTTATCGATGGCATGCTCAGGATTCACCTTCTGGAAATTGGTGAATGACCCTATGTCAAGTACTTCCCACATTTCATCATGAAGAGCACAGGGATGTGCCTTAATCTGGATCCTCCGATCATCAAACTTAAGATCTGAAGACATAAGGTTCTTGGAAAGAGAGTGATCCATTATAAAAGATTAATATCAAGGCTAAAAAGAAACAAGTGGATCTTTGTTCAGCAAGTAACCTAAGAGATTACAAGAACAAGGGGGCTCTGATACCACTTGCTGGACCCGGTTATACTGGGTACAGTCTAGGGGGGTGAATAGACTGTACTAGTTTTAACTATTTCAAGCTAAGTACCAGATTTAACAGAATAGCATGTTCTGTTGACAGAACAGACTGACAGCGGATGGTATTCTGGTAGGGGTTCTGTCCGATTAGCCTCACAGAGGTGCAAAGGCAGTAGGCCTTCTGTTAACTCACAAGACACGTTCTGCTGAACACAGAGACCAAGTCTTTGGAGTTAATCAGTTAAAAAATGCAGGGAATAAAAGCAGTAAGTAGATGACACCAGAGATTTTTATAGTGGTTCAAGGAACAACTCGTTCCTCTAATCTACTGTTCCACTAAGCTTGTAAAAACGCAGATTACAAAGCCTTAGCCCTAGCACTTAAGAAGCTTCCTTGGACGTCCTTCTAGTTAAAGAAGATTTCTTGTAAAAACAAGGGTTCTCCAACTTGCTTCGTCATAAGGATGTGTAGATGAAGTGTTTGATGGGTTGAAGAATAACGAACTTTGCTCTTTGTTGGAATATGAAGATAGGAAAATATTATCTTTCCAACTGAAGCTTTTCTTGTTTGAGATGATGAAGCTTGAAATCTCAAGAAAGCTTGTGAGTTTGAATGTTTTTTGTTGGAGCGAAAGTTGAGCAAGAGTTCTACCAAGAATTCTCTTGTTGTTCTTCGAGTAAGTATCTCTCATATACTGGGGTTGTCTTCCCGTTGGAGGAGGAGGACAACTTCATTAAATGCGCGTACAGTTGACTTGACCAGTAGGACCCGGTAAAGTTGGCGGGTTGCTATTTTGGGATAGAGTTATCCTTGAATGTCGGCTAATCATCAGCTTTCACTCTTCAGCGTACGAGGCTCATTAAATGAGCATTTAATGCGCGTACTGTAGCTTTTCCGTTGAAGTTTTCTAGCCGTTGAAGGAATCTTCCGTTGAATTCACCGGCTTAGGTAGATTTCAGGAAATCTTCAAAGTGTTAGGCTTCAGGTATATTTGAACAGAGAGTCAATCAGATAGGGCCTTGAGCACTTTTGTTGGGAATGAGCTACCAGAGGATCACAAGCACTTCTGTTGAAGTAGAAGCTAACAGAAGGTCTTGTGTACCTCTGTTCTGATGAAGTCCAACAGAGAACCAGGAGGTCTTCTGTTCAAGACGAGAAGCAACAAAGAGCCAAAAGGTCTTCTGTCTTGACAAAGTCTAACAGGCACCAGGAAGGTCTTCTGTCAGTCGACTATTCTAAGAGTGCTTTACAAGGAAAAATCTAATATATTTTCTAAAGAGGGGTATTCTGAAATCCTAATTAATATAGCATCATCAAAAGCTAATTACAATTATTCCTTACATCTTCAACATTCAGAGTCTCATCCCTCCACCTTATGAGGAAGGTGGATAGGGATTCCCCTTTGTTTTGGCGGGCGTTTGTCAGCCAACTGAAATGTTTTTTCTGTGTAGTGCTGGACGCGAACTGTGCCATAAATTGCCTGGAGAGCTGCTCAAAACTGTCAATGGTTCTGGGTCTGAGCTCCCCGAACTACTCCTGTGTTGGTCCCCTGAGGGTGCTGAAGAAGAGTCTGCAAATGTCCTCATCGAAGGCTCCCAGCATGGAGAGTCCTCCCTGGAAAGAAAGTAGATGGGCTTTCAGGTCCCCAGCCCCGTTGTACACCAAGGCGCAGGACGGTCTGCAGTCCCGTGGGATCTCTGCAGCCATGATCCTAACGGTGAAGGGCGATGAGAGTGCATTCCTGGGCTGAGCTGGATCAGTCTCCGCTCATCAGTTCAGCTCGTTGATCTGCCTTTGAAGGTCTGTGAGCATCGCATCTCGTGGGTCAGTGGTAGCGGCCGTGGGGTTTACCAGTGCCAAGGTATTCCCTGTACGTGCGGCGTCCCCGCCATGATGCCTGTTGTTCAAGCGGGCATTCTGCCCCAAGCCATTGACCGTGGGAGTCGGCTCCGTGGCCATATTTTCATTTCGAGGCATCACCGAGGTACGGTCCTGGATCGTGTGATGTTGCATTCCCCTGAAGATCTTGTGCCTGGTGTCCCCCCCCCCCCCATGTCTGGGGATCGGGTAGCCCTGACGATCCTTGTGTGGAACGATGCACGAGAATCATCGTTCTCACCAGTACGCTCGTCGACCGTCTGCATGGAACGGAGAGGGGAGAATGGTGTACGCTCTGTGTTTGCGGAGTACACGCGTTCAGCCTCCTCTTCGTCCGCCAAATGGCGAATGGTGTCTATTATCTCCCTCAGGGCATTCGGGTCTTGTCGGACCTCGTGGGGGATCATATCGGTGAGTACTCCGGAGTCCCTACGAGTCCATAAGCTGCTGGACTGGGCCCCTACCGCTTGGTTACGACTCCTCTTGTTGTGAGCTAGCCGTGCGGAGAGATCATGGGCGTTCCCTTCATTGTTTCTTGTCATCTTACTTGTTTTGAGTTGTTAAAAGTGGTTTTTAGCTGAGAGCTTGGTTTTGGAAGAACTTTTTGATCAGTTTCCCACAGACGGCGCCAGTGTTGAGGTTTATTCCTTCAATCTGTAGGTCCAACACGTAACCCAAGGATTTCGAATGGAGAGGTAGTAGAGTAGAAATTAAAACAAGTAAAGATGGGTCAACTAACCGTAGTAAGTAGGTTGTATTCTATTAAGTCCAAATAGTAAGCAATTACAACAGAGGCCGTTCGTACAGAAGTAAGCTACGAGCTGATATGAATGCTATAATGCTAGAGTGCTAAGTTGTCAACCCCTTACAGTGAAATAAATGCTACTATTTATATCACCAATAAGTGGTTGGATATGCTGATGTGGTGAGCTGTGGATGGCTAGGGTCTCAACCACCAAATCTCTGCATCAAATGCACTTCTCGCCAGAATCCAGGTTTCCCGCCAATGGGTGGCAACGATCGTCCCTGACAACTGGCAGTCTGGTGCCTTGTGTCGCCATCCAAACTGAAGAACCATTCTGTATCTCACGACGTACGTCTCCTGACTATTGTCTGTCATCTGTCATCCCTGGTCTTGCATCCTGCGGCCGAATGTCCCCCATGGGGACGAACTTCTTCTCCTCCTTGGGCTGTTTAAAGGATATTTCGCCAGAGGGCTTGCGCTTAGGGGATGAATGTGGCGGGCCTTAATGGGTTGATGGCCAATCCATGTTGGGTCATTAACCCAATAAGAGCTATTTGGACTGGGTATTCTAGATTCTCTGAATTCTTGAGCTTGATAACGCATTCTTCCATAAAGTCTTCAATGATGTGTAGCGTTCCTGTCACAATACTTATGAACTTCATTCATCAATAGGATACGTACGCTTCACGCCTTTGTAGTCTCTGTAGATTATCCCAGTTTCAGGATAGGTGGTGATTTCGCCTTCTTGAAAGTTTTCTATCGAGGGAGCAGTATTCCTCGGAGCAATAAGATTGGCTTTACTTAGGTTGATTTCATTTCCATCTGCAGATCAAACAATGTATAATACTTGATTTGTCGCAACATGAATCTCTTGATGGCATTCAGACCTAGAATTTTGTCTTCTTTGGGAAAATCTTTCAATTTCACATTTCTGTGTTCAAAGAATAGCTGGATCAAGTCTTTTGGAACAACATAGGGAAAATCAGCTTCAGAAACTCTTTGAGTTACTTTGTTCTGCCTTTCAA